CAGTAAATATACACGTGTTGTGTATTATGATGTTATATTTATATGTTACATCTCGCGAGGAGCTGGAAACAGGTAATCTAGTTTTCCACTGTATTGCAACTTGACGGTACAATGCTGCTAACGAACTCGCTGCTGAGATGACCATATGCAATGCTCTTTCATCAGGTAAATTTTCATATGGAAATTTCTAAACCAAATCATAACAGAAATACATTACATCATTTCCCCATACTTTATAATCTTCATGATCCCACATAAAGAAACACTAGTAAATACTATAACATATATTCTTAAGTAAACTGTGGTAAAATTGTATAAAGACTATGGTGGTTTTTAACTTTAATATAATTACTTTATTATACTACTACAGTTTACTATTTGTATCAGTCATGCAAGATATACAGTATGTTGTAATAATACAATAAGTACCCAGTACGTAGTGTAAAAATATACTGCATCATATATTTTGTGTTATTACAATAAGGCAACTTGTTCTAAATCAAAATATTGTTGCCTAACACAGTAGGTCATGCATACCACGTAATCTTAGAATAGTTACACCTTACTTATGAAATACTAACAGTATAAATACTTTTAATTTTCCAAGTCATTACCTCCTTACCCCCAAATGTTGCACATTGTTTCCGTTTACCTACACGTACGTACAGCTGTAAGTTATGCTTATGTGGAAAATTTCGATCTGTCTGTCATACATAGCACATAATTTCAGAATAGGTGCCCTTTAGTTATAAAATACTTACAGTATAAATGCTTTATAATTTAACAGGTTATTACCCACTTATTCCCAAAAACGTTGCATATTGTTCCCTTATACCTACGAGCAGGGCCGTCCTTAGGGGGGTGCAACTGGTGCGGTCGCACCGGGCCCTGTGGCGAATGAACCCCCCCACAACGCGATCGCGAACGGATAGAGGGGGAAAACGCGATTGCGAACGGACAGAGGGGGGCCCCGCCCCCTACCTCGCACTGGGCCCCACATCAGCTAAGGACGGCCCTGCCTACAAGTAGGTACTGTGGAGGTACTCTATATTTATAAATAGGTACGCTGTAAATTCTGTTTAATTACGCGGTACATTGCGGGCTGTAATCTAAAGCGTTACCCATTCTTGTTTCCCTTTCTTGTTTTGATATATGTTTCCTTTGTTTTATGTTTAGTTTTGTTATCTAAATAAATGTTTTTGCATGATATCTTGGATTCACGTGTCCTTCTGTAACGGGTGCGTTAGGGCCCGCTTAGTAGGAGAAATTAATGTTACCTTGGAAGACTTAAGGAGGAAAGGATCTTGGTCCCCCACCCCAGTGCTTTGAGTATCAATGTATATGTTATGTATACGTGTTACCTTACTCTGTTGTATAATATACTAAAGGGACCAGAGAGTGTGGCTTCAGGTAAGTTTGCAAATGCTTGTATTAAAGGGGTCATATGATGCGATTTCTATTTTTCCTTTTCTTTAGTGTGTTTTGTAGCTATTTGTGCATGTATAAGATCTGCAGTTACAAAGCTCAAAGTCTCACACAAAAGGATTTATTCTATCTAAAGAGAAGGCTGATCCAGACCGGGCTAAAACGCCTCATTCAAACACGCCCACACATCTCTACGTCACGATGTGGAAATATTTGTGCAGTGCCGCCCAAATGTTCATGCAAAGAAAGAAGGCGTGGTTTCAGGAACAGCAGTAGTGTTGATGCAGCCATGTCAGGGAGACGCTGTGTGTTTCTGTGGGAAAGCAAAAGCACTTTATTTGGCCTTCCGAAAGTAGATGCAATGAGGAATCATTGGTTAAGATTTATTTACAACAGAACAGCACAACCCAGATGTTCGAATTTGTGCAACGCATTTTATGGACGACAGTTTTGTGAACCTAGTAGAGTAGCCTACAAGGCTGACTGTGCAAAGGCTATTTCTAAAAACAATGGGTAAATTACGACTTTGCTATGACAATCTGGCGCTTATTCTGAATCAGCTACTGTAAGTATGTTTTCTTAATAGTGTAAGTATTTACTATTGACTGTTCAAATGCGGAGTTCTGCGCTGTGTATAGTATCACGTTGTGTGTGTGTGCGTGAGACAGAGAGACAGGGTCACTTCACAGTGGAGTCAGCTTTCTTAATCGCGGCTTGTGTACTGCAAATACATACGAGCATCATCACGGTGTCTGCCACGCAACTCTGTTCCCCTTTCGGGCTTGAACTGATGGTAAAACTAAGGACATTATTTACTGTCTTTACATTTATGTTGAATGCTGAAGCTCGCGATTATGAAAAGGGTCGTTACATTTCCGACGCGTGCTTGTGGTGTTCAGCCAATCACAATGCACTGGGTCAGCGGACCAATCAGAGCAGACTGTGCTGGTCGGAAGGAGGGACTTTGTAGAAAACTACGTGTTTGAGAGGCGGGGCATAGAGGAACTATAATAATGTACAGTATTTGAAATATAATGTGTTTTTTTAACATTAAAGCATGTCAACATATTCTGTTAAACCAAATACACAAGCTTCAGGCTGCCTGAAGTGTAAATATGTGAGGCAATATAACAGTAACAATTCACATTCCCACCCCCGGTACCAAACTGAGCAAGTGAGACGCCCCTACTCCAAGGTAATTTCAACAATAATAATACTCTTAAGATTTACTTTAACATTTAATCAGATTTATTTTTTAATTTTTTAGATTGTCTGTTTTTTCTTCTGCAGTGTTTCAGCAGGTTAAAGAAGATCAGAACAAGACATGAAATAAATGTAAAAAAACGGTCCCACTTTATATTAAGTGGCCTTAACTACTAGTGCCTAACCTTACCCGTATCCCACCTAAATAGCAGCAAAAGTGTTTTGCAATACAATATGACCACACTAAGTACAATGTACTTCTTTTTTGATGTAAGTACATAGTAGTTAAGGCCACCTAATATAAAGTGTGACCAAAAAAACAAATAAAACAGTGTTACTCAAATAAAATTGTCACTATAATCTTTACCCGTAGTGCACCACCAATTGTTTAACCATCAAACCTGTGTATAACACCTCTGGAATAACAATCAGTTCACAAATGATTCACTTAAAATAAACTCAGAAATAACTCTTGACTCATGTCACAACACAGGCCGGAGACAAGAGATAAGTGAACACACAGATATGTTTATTGACAGATGTGATTGATGGATGAGTAGTGGTTGAGAACAGGTGAGCAGAAACACTATAGACAGTTCTGTGGTTCTTAGCTGAGATCACTGATGCTGGGTCTTCTGCAGGTGTGACTGGATATGGCTGGAGCTGAGGAGAACAGGATCGAAGGGACGCTGGTGTATCTGGAGGTAAGCACATGCAGGTAAGTAGGGAGAGTCAGGCTAGTTCAGGTATGTGAACCGTAGACCGGACAATGAGTGTCTGAGTGGAGTGTGCTTATGAAGGAGTGCTGATTGCAGGCTGCAGGTGCGGGTGATCAGTAATCGGGTGATTGTGATCTGGTGAGAGTCATGACTGGTGACTGTGGTGACTGAGGTGGTTGTGACTGCGTGGAATCCCTGACAACTCAGTTCAAATGAACTCTGAAATGACTCTTGTGATTCAACAGATGATTCAATTTTCACACCAAACCCAGTTCAATTACCTAGTTCAAGTTCTCAGTTCAGTTCAGTCTATATCAGTAAAGAGTTAATGTGTGTATATGTGCAGTGAACGTTTGTACCAGTCTGTAGCAACGATGAAATTGAAGAAATGACTTGCGATGACTTGGACAAAAGTCCCTTAAAAAATACCTCTGTTACACTTCTTTATGTTGCGTTCCCCTTTCTGGCTAATTTAAATAGGGGTTTGTAACAGTAATGAAGCATGAAGGGGTCAAATATCACCCTTAAATGGATAAGTTGATTTCTGTAAGATAAGCTTTTCAAAACTTTACAAACAAACACTTCAGTTCAGTCAGTGTGTTGTCAGGCCTCAGATAGGCATTTATTTAAAAAAATTAGGTGTTATACAGATTGACATCCATGTCTCTTATTAAAATCAATATGACAATAAAATGTGCCTTATTTAATTTCTTAGCTATTTCAAAGAAAATACAAACTGTATGTAACAGCGATTGTGTACATTCCAGTTAATTCCTGATGGATCAAATCAAGTTCTTCCCTACACGTTTTCTTGTTGAATATCCTGTTTCACTGGGAAGTCAAATGTGTTGAGATGCTGGTTCATGTTGACTTTGACAAACGAGAGATGCCAAAAGGAGTCACTCCCAAAACGTGACTTTTACAGTAAGCAAGCATTCAGCCTGAACATGTGAAAGAGATACTGAGAGATTCCAGGATGAAGCTGAAGTTTTCACACCATCACAAGTTCACAACAGATTAATATCAGGTTGAAGTTGTAACTGTTAAATACACACAACACAACAAAGCAGTTTAATGACATTTGTAAGCATTTTAATTTACATGAAATTTTAATTATTATGTAATGTTTAATACATTTATTGGTAAACATGAACAAGCACATTAATATTTCACATTTCTAGATATGTGAATATATATATGAACTAATGATCCATAAAGCATTACATAATATTTGTTCATGATTTATTAATGAAAGTTATTATAAAGTGTTACCAAGCATTTACGTGAACAGGCATGTATGTTTTTTTTCTCTTTAATTTTATTGTTTTTGATTAACTACCTACCATAATCTTTCAACTGTTTTTAAACAAATTTGACTAGAAAAGACAAAACAAAAAAATCATGTCTTTGTCAGTGAGGAAAGATGTGTATTTGTAGAGTAAAAAATAAACAGTAGAAGACTTTATTAAATTACAGATTAAATTCAACTGTATTACAGCAATTTTCACAATAAATGCTGTTTCAAATCAGCTTTAGTAAGCATCTTACAAACCCAAAGGATGACAAGCTACACATTATTAATGATAATAATGACCAGTTTGGTGTTTCACTGAATATAATGAATTTAGCGTAATAAACCAGATGGACATTTACCTCTCATCCTGTAGCATTTGAAGATCAGCACGACTGTCACTAGCAGATATGGACAAACTGCCAGTACAGAACTGAGTGTGTGGAGGACAGAGATCTGAGATTCTGAATGAGACACTGAAAAAAAGACACACAAGCACTTTACAAGCGCTCTATCTGAACGAGAGCATATGAAGAAATAAATCAACTCACAGTTTCATTGACTTTCACCTCTAACTGAGATCCAGCTCTTGGGTGACTCTCCTCTCTCTGGGTGTTTGCAGTAGTAGAAACCCTCATGTGACTTTGAGACAGTAGAGATGATCATCTCTGTAGTTTGATTCTGGATGAGTGATTCATCTTTATAGAAATCAGCTCTGAGGATTGGTGGGGTTGAATGTTGATATAAACAGTGTAGCTCTGTGGAATACTTGATTCTGATTGGTCAATCGCGCCATCCAGCGGTATGTTATTCCAGGAGTCAGAGTATCTCCTTCAGTCACAGGATGAACATGCCTCTACAGAATCACACCAACTACAGAAACAGAGAAAGCATACGTCGATTCCCTTGGCAAGTCTTAAAATTTGGAAAACAAAACCTCAGATGAACAACAACATGACATATTGCGCTGTGTCATTATTTATATTTAACAAAAATAAAGCAGAGATGGAAAAGCCACGTGTGACAAAGTTAGGACACCCTTACTGTTAACATAGTGCATGACCCAATTTTGGCCCAATTTTAGCTGTCGGACGGATGGTCTCAAATTTGTCACCCTTACTATTAACATAGGGTAAGTAATGGTCAGGCACTGCTAATCAAATGCCTTTGGTTATCTGATCATCAGCAAGTGTGAGCACCTCTATAAAAGCAGAAGTTTTGGCAGTTTGCTGGTCTGGAGCCTTCAGGTGTGTATTAACACTATGCCAAGGAGGTAAGACAGACATCAGCAATGATCTTAAAGAAGCAATTCTTGATGCCATCAATCTGGGAAGAGTAATGCGCCATTTCCAAACAATTTGAAATCCATCATTCCACAGTGAGGAAGATTATTCAGAAGTGGAAGACATTCAAAACAGACACCAATCTTCCCAGGAGTGGATGTCCCAGGAAATTCACCCCAAGATCAGACTGTGTAACGCTCAGAGAAATGGCAGACAACCCAAGAGCTTCACTGCAGACTCCGCAGTGAGACTTCTCAGTTAACATGTCAAATCATAAAGTTCATGACAGTACAATTAGAAAAATATGGGACAAGTATGGTATGTATGGAAGAGTTGCCAGAAGAATGCCTCTTCTATCTATAAAGAACATGGCAGCACGGTTTAGGTTTGCAAAGTTGCATCTGAACAAACCATGAGACTTCTAGAACAATGTCCTTTGAACAGATGAGACCAAAGTGGAGATGTTTTCCCATAATGCACAGCGCCACGGTGAAAACCTAAAGAGCATATCAGCACAAACACCTCATACCAAAAGTCACACATGCTGGTGGAGGGCTGATGATTTTGGGCTTGTTTTGTAGCCACAGGACCTGGGCACCTCACAGTCATTGAGTCAACCACGAACTCCTCTGTATACCAAAGTATTCTAGAGTCAAATGTGAGGCCATCCGTTCGACAGCTAAAGTTTGGCCAAGACTGGGTGATGCAACAGGACAATGATCCCAAGTAAACCAGCAAATCTACAACAGAACGGCTGAAAATAAGAGAATCAAGGTGTTGCAAAAGCCCAGTCAAAGTCCAGACCTCATCCTGACTCAAATGCTGTGAGAGCTGTGAATAAACAAACACCCACAAACCTCAATAAACTGGAGCAACGTTGTAAAGAAGAGTGGGCCAAAATTCTTCCAGAACGATGTGAGAGACTGATAAAGTCATACAGAAAATGATTACTTCAAGTTATTGCTGCTAAAAGTGGATCTGCAGGCAATTGAATCATAGTGTGTCCTAATGTCATGGTGTGATATGTCATGTGATGTTGTTCATTTTCCAAATTTTAGGATCTGCCAAGGACCAGATAATTTTTTATTATGTCCTGATACAGAAAACCATTGAATTCATTAGGGTGTCCTAACTTTTAGATGATGAAACTCACCTGATACTGTCAGTGTAACTGCATCACTGATGTTTGATGTTTGTGATCCTCCTCTCTCTGCTCCATAACAGGAGTATTTACCTGCATCAGACTCAGTAACAGGACTGAATATGTGTTCCTGTAGTTCACTGAAAACACTGACTGAACCGTCTTTATACCAGCTGTACTGCCAGCTAGTGACTGCTTCACCATCAATGTCACAGCTGTTATAGTTGAAGACGTCAATATGCAATCACTGGGAATTTGGAAACATGAGTTGTGAAAGTTTTTCAACAGAAGATCTTGTCTCTCACTGTTTTGATTTTGAAATCAATGGGAATATAAGAAATATATATGATTTATTTTCATGTCACAGATCAGAATTGTCACATAAAAAACTTTTCTTGTTAAAAGGGTGCATTTATAATCGTTATGAAATGTAGGTAATTTCTCAACTCTCAGTTGGTTTGTAACAGTTACTGTAGAATCGCTCATATGTGATGAAATATATATATATATGTACATATATATATACATATATGTGTATATATATTAGGGGTGTGACGGAGAGGAAATTTTCCCACC